AAAAATACTCATACAAAGTGCAAAATGGGAAAATGCCACTGTATGTTGAACGTCTTGTAAAAGTTCAGTTGTATTTAATAATAATAAGTATTTCTAAGTATTTATAAGTATTCCTAAATAATATGAGAAACAATGCTGTTAATATTAAGTGATTATTATTTATAAATATTTTAATATAGAACATTTTGTCTGTTGTTATTATTTTAAAGTTGAAGAGGTAAAGAAAAATGGAAAACTGTTAGATAAGAAAACTAGAAGTGGTGCTGATGTTGATGACCAGCAATATTGCAAATGGAAAGGATTTTCCCAAATGAACTTTTTAATGAATGCATTCGATGAACAAGATGGACAATGATACAAGACAATAAAAAGCCATAGTTAAAAACAAATTTTTTATAGTTCAAAAAATATGTAGATAATATCACTTTACTTATATACTTTTTCTTTATTTTATTAGAACTTGTACCAATCTCTCATGAAATGATGTCATACACAGTAAAGATTTGCGAGAGATGTGTATTCAGTTCTCCTATCTACAAAGTCCGGATTTTCAAAGTGTGTCAATGTAATATATTGTTGTGTCCTATCTTAAATTAATATACGGGTAATATGTTAAAAATTATTCATCCTTTATTCAAATTACTTAATTCATAATAATATTTAATGTATGTAAGAGCATTTAACATTTTTTATTTAGTTTATACGTGTATTCTTAAGTCTACATTTATGTTTTAATTTTATTATTTTTAGTATAATTTTTTCATACCTACTATATAAATTTAAATTTTTGCTAGTGCTGTGGCGCTGCAACCTTTGGCTATGTCTTGGGCTATTTCAAAATTATTTTGGTTGTTGTGCATGTTTTAGCTGGCAGCACTCGCGTGACCATAAGAGGGTACTTAGGATGTGCCAGAATTTAAACGAATATCAACATGGGATAGGTTAATATATTTTTTCGTACATAATCGATATCCGAAAATTCGATTTTTTTCGAACAATGTCAGTCCCCAATTGATTTGGATAATCGATGTACTACTGTATATCAGTTTCATTTATATGTTTATAATTTTTAGGGATATTTCAAAAGATATACGATGCACATCATCATCATCATCATCATCATATACAGCAGTGTTTCTTAACAGGGGGGCCGCAGCCCCCTGGGGATCTATAAGAAATTTTCCGGGGGCCGCCAAATTATGCAAACTTTGGCAGCCCCGACAAACTGCAAAATGTTATTTAAATNCCATTGTCAATCTTCTAGGCTTACAGGAAAGAGGCGCTGAACGTCTGACGTATGCGTTTTTGCGTTTAAAGCTTCGGCTTCAACCTCACTATTATAATCACATCTTCACACACATCAAACCATGTGACTTTCTGAAATGAGAAATTTTAAAAAAATTTAAAATTTGTGTGGAAAATAGTTTTAATTTAATTTTTATATTCAAGTGATATTGTCTGGATTAGTGTTTCTTAACAGGGGGACTGCAGTCCTCTGGGGTCCCGTAAGAAGTTTGTCAAAGGCGCCAAATTATGCAAACTTTGGCAGCCCCGACAAACTGCAAAATGTTATTTAAATAGAAAATAAAATAATAAAGTTATGTTTTACATTTATAAAAATGTAAACATAACTTTATAACATATATATAAAAACAAAAAGCAATAAAAATCAATTTATTATAAATAATTCAACAAATATAAATTATTATTAAAAAATTGGGGGTCATAAAAAAATGAAATATTTAGTGGGCCGCGAGTATAAAAATGTTAAAAAGTTAATTTATTGTAATCATTAAAATTAACACAAGATGATGGCATAACCTTTTACCTCTAGACAAATTAATTAGTTTCCGATCATTAAATTAGCCGTGTAATAGCCCGATAATTTGGTAGATCATTTGGTTTNAAACAAAAAGCAATAAAAATCAATTTATTATAAATAATTCAACAAATATAAATTATTATTAAAAAATTGGGGATCATAAAAAAATGAAATATTTAGTGGGCCGCGAGTATAAAAATATTAATAACCACTGATCTACAGAACTATCTTCAACCCTACAGAAACGTCGAAAAAAATGAACAAGATGATATGCAAAAATGTGTTCATAAAAGCGAGCAGATCAGGCATTAATATAAAGAAAATTATGTACAATATTACAAAAGAACATTCATACATGTTCCTTTTGTATCATGATGTACAGTACATATATAGTATACATAACATAATAATAAAATCTTGCAAATAAAAAATTTTAATATTTAAGAAATATTTTATTTTTGATTTTTACATGCTACTACACATTTGATATTCGATACGATTTACTTAATTGAATTGCTATAGTAAAATATTATTTCTAAGAAATAACTAGCAAATTGCTCCGTAATGTCTCTTGCACATTGTAAATAATTACTCTGTTGACTTGGTCTTTGAGGAAGTGAAGATGATCTGCTTCCTATTTCCTTTTTCCACTGACTTTCTATAAGAGCATCAGCATCCTCTTTCTCAGTAAAACAGTGGGCACAATAATATTTCATCTGTGCATTAACTTTACTTTTATTATCATCAATAAATTAAGCAGACACACAGAAAACAATATAATTTTATGTACAGTTTCAGGGAAAGCTTGAACGCATTTGCACAGAATCCTCCCACGTACAGAAACAATACCGAATGTATTTTCTACTACACGTCTAGCTCGGTTGAGTCTGTGGCTAAATTTTGTTTTTGTTGTTAACTGTCTGCCAGCGTAAGGTCGAAGTATATAAGTATTTAACAAAAATGTCATCACCAACCACAAAATATGATAGGTTATCAGGCATTCTACTTATTGGTGATGCTTGTGGCCAACCTGACTTTTCTGTTTCGAGCGATCTGCTAAGAATCGAATGGAAAAATAGACCTCCATCGCTTCTTCCACCAAATTTTCCTATATGAACATATATAAGTTTATATTTGGCATACCTAGGAAAACTTTACTAAAGTTGCTTTTATAAATATAATATAAAGAGCCTGTATTTCTTGAGCAGACCATTTGTATATGTTTCCCATATATTGCGCTGACACAATAGGGAAAATTCCATCTTTTTTCAAGTTTCATAGCAGGATTGGCAGGATTGGCAGGATCCTTTCTGCATGGAAACTTCACATAATCTTTTCCGAACACATGCCAAATAACTTCACAAGTTTCTTTAATAATAATGCAAACAGTTGATGTACTCATTCGAAATGCAAAGGCGTGGGAAATTTGATAATATCCACTAGCTATATACTAAAGTATTAAACATATAATTTATCACTTGTATTTATAATTATTATTATATTTTCGTATTTTATTATGAAAAATTTTAACATCAATATAAGACAATGTCTCGGAATCGAAAGTTTCTTTTCATTTAAAATAGGACATGTAAGTTTAAAATATAAATTTTATATTTAAGTCCATTTTTTAAACGAGTTTTTAACGTATTAAGAAATGAAATAAGGAATAATACATCTAATCGTAAAAACTTTTTATCCGAATCAATGGAGAAAAGTAATTTAAACTTATATTGTGGCAAGAAATAAAATTTAAACAAGCTAGAACTATATCAGAGACAAGTATGCTTGCTTGGTTATCGATATAAAATCACAAATTCTGTTTTGTTTCAATGAACTATAGAAAATATCACTTAATAAACTCAAAATTCGTAACCTTAATGTGACTTCTAAACGTTCTCTCGGAGCTATGGCTTTACGTTCAATTTTAAATTTCGTATCGTTTTTATGTATCATTTTATGAATCGCTCTACTCTGCAGAGCGATTCATAAAATAATTCCCTTGTCATTCTGAGAAATCTAAAAAGTGTTATGATAATTTTATTTGTTATTTTTCATAAAAGTTCTTACTAAAGAGAATAAAATTTAGTATAAACAATCCTACCTAAAAAAACTCTTTCTCATTGTCTTATCTCTCGAACTAAATTAGTATGGTAACTATATAATTCACGGTTTATTTGAAATATCTCTCACCCAGCATCGTTTTCTTTTTGACGTTTATTTTCTCAATATATTAACAAGTGGTTATCAACAGGATGTCGAATTCAGCCATTTTGTTTTCGAGCTGATGTTTTCTTTCGCTCGCAAGTAATTGGCTGCTTAAAATTCGCAATGGCTTTTCGCTTTTGGTTGAATGGATTAATGTCCCTAAGCGAATAAAAATCGCTTTTCGCTGTTCTCATTTGCATTTGCTATTCGCTCAGTGTGAACTAACCTTAAGACCCTTTTTCATAGTTACCACATAATAATCGTAACGTTTCTGTTTTACGCCTGAATTAAGTTTTTGTACAAAATGTTAAAAATTCTCTACTCACTGATCTGATTTGACTGTTTTTCTCGGTTATATATCTTGTCATATAATTATTTCCTTTTGCTACTATCTTTTTCACTGTTACATCTGTTTTAAATATTTACCACCCGAGAGGGTAGAAAACATATTTAAAACTGTATTCAAACAGTAATTTAAACAGTATTTAACAGTACACAGAACGAAAAAGAAAGAAAGGTACTTTAAAAAGATGTAACAGTAAAAAAGTTAACATTCGTCAGTAAAGTGAATATAAGTAATTTTTAGCTTATCTCAAATACTATCAGTATAATATCGTCCTATAATCGTTATATACAATTGTTTTAGGATGTTGTAAGTCCTATAATCGTTTTATACAATTGTTTTAGGATGTTGTAAGTCCTATAATCGTTTTATACAATTGTTTTAGGATGTTGTAAACTTGCAGAAGACAAGCCTACCGGTTCGAAACACACCAAAAAAAGAAAATTTAAGAGATAACAAAGATATTTTGTTTTACTTTTTCAATAAGAATTCCGCTATTTCCTAATTAAAAACTATGGCAGTATAATAAATACTATTTATAAACAAGGTGAAAGTAGACAGTATAAAACAAAAAAGTAAAATAATTCACGCTTGAAATTAGATAGCTCCTATTGTTTTGTTAATTCTCACCTTTTATCGATATTAGATGTTGCTTCATCCATGACAAGAATTTTATTCTGACGAAGAATTGTTCTGGCGAGACATATTAATTGTCTTTCTCCTACGCTAAAATTCCGTCCTCCTTCTGTTAAATATGTATCCAATCTACCAGGCAATTTACTTATAACTTCTTTTAATTGCACCTTTAATTGAAATATTTTCAAAAATCAATTCATAAAAATTCAGTGAACTCATCAAAAACAAATGTAAAACATGGAGCAATTAATTAATCCTCTACGCCTTGCGTGGTTTATCACAGACGACAACCAACTTTTCTTTAAAAAATAGTTATTTAAGACATTTTTAAAAAATCAGAAAAATCAATGCATACCTAAGTACTAAACTCGCAGAAAATGCAATAATAAATTTCTTTTTGTGCCCTACATCTAAAGAAAATATCATGCTGTCTCACTTCTATTTGAATAAACTTCTTCAATAACTTTCAGAATAATGTGTATATGCAATGTGTTTTCAGCGCTTGTCAGCATCGCAAGTACTCAAAGCGACTATTTAAAATATCAATGTAAAATGAAAAAAATCTTTACAGTATAACTTTTTCTTATGTGTAATCTTCTTAATCTTTTTTATAACTTTTTCCAATCCCTTGATGTCCGTGAAATACCACGGACAAGAAATCTCACGCTCATCATACATTAGCCTAAAAAAACAATTTTTCTAACATCTTGCGAGGGTTAATACAGAAAAATTCAAGTGTCTAACTGTTTACGTAAGTAGTAAAGGTCTGGCCACAAAAGGTTTTCAGTTGAAGAATTTTTTCGAATTACTTTATGTTTTGTTTACCGAATAATATTGAATATGTCCCACGTCTGATATACATTTACTTCACTGGCTTTTACTGCGTATGATTTTGAGACCGTTTTTATATAGCATTTAATGTGCTCATTTAATATCATGTAATAAACTGCCAAAGTTTTGCTGTTCCATGCATTATTTTACGATCGGTTTTTTCTTGAATATTAAATATTCCTGCCTGAACAATCAGCAAATTTTTAAAGTTGTTTTTATTCATACAAACAGCGATTATTTCTGCATGTATTGCTTAAAAACTGTGTAATTAAAGTATATAAAATTAAACATGATATTATATATAAAGTTATATTAGTCAGATCTAACAGAACTATTGGTTATGTATTAAAGTCAGCCTTGTTCCTAAAAAATAAAACAATAACATTGCCTTTTAACATAGTTCTAGAGTTATAAAAGTATTCGCAATTTATTGATGTTTAAAGTAGGGTTGGGCAGGATTTATTCACTCTGTTCCGTGAAAGTAAGTACATTTTCCAACACTTAATTTCAAAAAACTCCTTGAAATTTTAAACTCAAAATGAGTTGGTGAAACCTGAAATAACTTACAGAGATAAAATTTAATATATTTAATTTTTGCATTATTAGATCAAATTTTGTTTTTCAATCCACGACTGTATTATATTGTTAGATACACAAACTGCAGATATGAAATATTGTGATTTTTCGTGAATTTGGACAATATGAAAATGGTACCTGTGAGAAACCACACAAACAATACTTTTTATTGAATAGCATAAAAATATTTCTTTATTTCTAACCTCTTCTATGGCTTTCCACAATTGATCATCTGAATATTCATTGAATGGATCGATATTTCTTCGAAGAGGACCAGTAAACAACATCGGATCCTGGAAACATAGACGTATACTTTATAAACGATTACTTAGTTAACAATTTTTTGTATTAAATGAGATAACTTATCTGTTGAAAGATATAACTACGTTATCTCAAAAATGTGGTAAAAGATACATAAGCCGTTTACCTTTAATGAATTAGAAATGATATGATTATGTTTTCTTACTTAATTTAAAAAAAAATAACTACAGTTTCGTTTGAATTGCTTGTATTCCGTATAATTGCTAAGAAATTATCACAGAATATTCGTTTGTTCATATTTCAATTCGCAAGTTAATTATATATAGGAGGTATTGTCGAATGTACAGGGAAAAAAACAGTGCCAAGTATTATTACTTTTGACACATCTATTTTCAATGGTATGTTTAAACAATCATCTAATTGCGTGAAGACCGTGCATTTATATATATTTAATATTTCTAGTTTTAGATACAATATTTTTTATTACATTTTATTATAAAATTTGAAAAATATATATATATTATTACTGATATATACAACTTGAAAATTAATGACTTTTTGTCAAATTTAATACTCTGGTTACGTTATTCTTTTCTGGATCTGAGCCAGAACTTGATAGGTGTGAAGCTTTAATTATATAACTATTAATAAATATACAGTGGTTCCAAAAATTTAGCACAGCATTCAATGTAATGAAGAAATGCACATTATTTCAATATTATTCTAACAGTTTTTCACACCACTGTAAAATATAATATTCTATGATAAATATTAAAACTACATAATTACCTAATTTTTTTTCTTTTACTTAGCAAAAAAAAACTTGCAATTGACCAAGTGGTTGACAACCCTCCACTTAGAAATTTTTTGAGAAAACTCACCAAATATTGGGATGCTAGCCTGTTAATTACACAAGGCTGATGCAGGAATCAACACTGCCAGTTTGAAATTCAAGTATAAATTATATGAAAACAGTCAAAATAAAAGATGAAAATTTAGTCATATTAGGTAAGTTGTCTGGGACCTGAAAACTTATTCAAAAGCTACCGTCTTTTAGCACATTCAGTTTAATTGTTTTATAGCGCACAAGACAAACCTACCATAGTACAGAAAGAAATTTATTAGAAATTTAAAAAACTGTGATACTTACATGAATGTACAGAATTTTCGATGTTGATGCTAGCTAGTTTTTTAAACTGTGCAACCATATTTGCGTATTTCAGGACCATATACCTAGCATTGTGACTTATTTTTGTACTTAATATGCTCTTATCTATTATTTACAAACTTATTTACAATATGACAGGTACTGCACAGGCTGCATATGCTGTTTCCCAAACTGAAGAACCAGTACGAGACCTAAGTACACCATCACCTACTGCAAGCACCTTGTATTCACAAAGTGATCCATCAAAGAGTTTGGAAGAAAGCAGGCAACGAAATAAAAAACAGATAACGACCACGTTGCTTAATCATCACAACTTGTTCAAATTCAGCATGAGGAAAAGAGAGTTGTTGAACAGAATGACCATTGTCTCCAAAGTTTATATTTACAAAAAGAGTTTCATGATTCAATAGCTGCTCTTGTAAATAAGAACAAGTAAACAAAATGTGCTTATTGCTGATTAATGATATGAAATAAAATCTGAATTATTCATTCTTGGTTTGTGTAAGTAAATAAGTCTTATCTTAGTTGTTAAAGTACATGACAAGTGCATTTCTAATTTCTTGTGCTGATTGATCATATTCCCCTACTACTGTGGAAGCAGAATTGACAGTAGTCTCATGTTGCAACTCATTTCGCCAATAATCATGTATGTTATCATTTAGTTCTTCACACATGTTAAGTAGGATGCAACAAGCCTTAAAAATAGGAATGATACTTTATTTACGTTTAGTTTTAATCTTTTGCTGATGTATATGAATTGTGCCTTTAGACGACCAAATGCATTTTCCACCACTCTTCTGGCTCGAGACAAATGGGAGTTGAATTGATTTTTCTCATTGGACAATTCAGCACTGTTGGGAAATGGCTTCATTAACCCCATTATATCTTTTTCTCACTTCACTACAGAGAGTGAACACATTAAACATTTCATAGATTCCACTGTTTTCAAACACTTGGGGGTCGTTATTCCTCCTATTTGCACCAACATTCACATAGATGAACTTGTATTATGCATCATATATTGCCAGCAGTACAACACTATAAAAGCTTTTGTAGTTATAGTAATCAACTGCGTGTTCTTTTGATGGACTTACATTAATATGAGTTTTATCAATCTCTCCAATACAATGCAGAAATTCACATAAATTCTCAAATTCTTCGACTTTTTTTAACAACTCTTTTGTCGTTCCCAGAAACATTACTTTTGAGTCTAACATTCCGATCAGCAGGTTGCAAGACTCGTGCAATGTTTTCAAAACTGATGTCTCACCTAATTCAAATAATTTTGCAATACTCCAAAATTCCGCTGTGGAAAACAGTGTGTATAGCGCTATCGCAATTCTCTTATCCAGTGGAATGCATTTTCTGTGGTTTGTATCTAAGCGCTCTATTTGCTTAAGATTTGGATACAAAAAATAAAATGAGAAACTTGGAAATTTTCCTTCCATTTTGCTGGAGTCCATGATTTTACAAGAGTTGTCCCCCATCACTGTCTTTTGACCGATAACTTGGTGAGGCATGATTTTGCAATACATTACAGACGACCCCTATAACACGTAGATTCGCTCCGGTTTTTATGAATCCATTTTCTACAAGTCCTTAAATACATGAGCCAATCACAGCCCGGCATGTATGCAGTTTATGACTACAGCAGTTTGAAAGGTTTTCTTTCATAAAATTAACCGATTCTAGACTAATTCGAGTCAACAATTCCAAAATACGTATAATTTTTCGGGAATAATCCATATAAACTATGCGATAAACAAAAAATTGTAGGATTACTTACCGAGTGTGCACCGTTCACAGAGTGTGGGCATTTTTATAAAATTATATACTAATTAAAACTAAATTTGTACCCCAAGTGTATCGAACGTATACTACTTTTATAAGTGAATAATTATTATTTACTTGAGGAATTATCGATATTTTACTACGAAGATCCCGAAGACCAAGATCTTTTGTGTCAATTCCGTCGATAGTTATTGTTCCTGTTGGCTCAATCATGCGAAATAACGAAGCAATTATAGAACTCTTTCCAGCTCCTGTTCTCCCAACAATTCCTATCTGTAAATAATAAGTAATAAAAATTATTCATATAATAATTACTAACAATACTTTGAATGTTTTACCTTTTCTCCTGAGTGAATACGAAATGCTATGTTCTTCAAAACAATGTTTTTATCCTTGGAATATTGTACAGAAACATTATCGAAGAGAATTTCCCCTTTTTGTGGCCAATCCGAGGATGGCCGTTTATCGGGTAAACTTTCATATGATGCTTCTGATTCCAATTTGCTGTAGTTCAGAATGCGTGTGACCGAATTCATCTGGAAAATTCACTATTTATTAAGGTAATTGAGTAGCCTAATGCACGAACATGCGTGAAATTAGAAGAAAATGATGTAGCAAACTAAATATATACAGGCCACATCAAAAATATCGATACTCGTGATGTAGAAAAATATACATAAACAGTTTTATTAATTTTTAAATCTTTTGCTTACTAATAATATATACTAATAATATATACTAATACTATATACTAATAATAATCACGACAAACTAACATAGAATGAATTAACGTGAAATGTTAATTCATTCTTTATTAGTTTGTCGTGATTATTATTAGTATATATTATTAGTATATAACTTATTAGTATATATAAAAATGATAAGTTTTATAGAAAATATTAATTTTAAAATTACATAAATTATATTTCTAAAAAATATTTAATACAAAAGTATAAATATTTCATAAATTTTTAGAAATTCAGATTAATATATTCTGTAAACATAATTTATATGAGATGATATATAGTAATATGCACTCGTATACATCGAAATGTAGTATAGCTCTTTAAAAAAATAATGTAGATGTAATTACTTGAATCAAAATATTTCCTAAATAAATATATTATATCGATTAATCGCAAGTGTGTTATAAATGAAAAACTGAGCATAAACCTTTTTATTCAAGACAACATACATTTTATACAGATAGAAATTGTATTAATGATAAAATTATTTATAGCTACTCGTTACTTTCCAAGTGAATAAAAATAGGATACTTCTGATTCTCTGCACATTATTATTTGTATTCCTACATGAACAAATTAATAAATTTTCTGTAATTACTGAATTAAAAGCATTTAACAAAATTTGGCTTAACCGGTTTAAAATGCTTTTTACAGTACTTTGATAATAAATTTATTCATGTACAGAAATTATTGTTAAAATTGACGATAAAACGAACAAAATGAAGACAGAATGAAAATTACAAAAAAAAACAGTTGTAATATATATTACATAAATACAAATGTTTGGCTTTATGGATATATGCAAGAAGAAAAGAGTAGTAAGTCATATTAAAAACATTTAGAACGCACAGTAAAATTTACTTTTACAAAATTCAAGAGTGTAGCAAAAAGAAAACAGGAAAATATTTACAAATTTGCTCACTAAATATTTTACTTCTTAATCGTTATAGTCTAAAACTAATATTTTAAAGACAAATTTCGCCCAGACAGAAACCAACATTTAGCTCTTTAATTTAGTTCAGAAACCTGAGCTAAATGTATTATTAGCTCTCTGTTCCAGACAACACAACCCTGTCGACCGACCTTCCTTTTTAGGCTATTAGCCGACAAAATGATAAAAAGACCTTTTAAAAAACACAAAATTTTCAAAGTGAAAAATATAAAATTTTTCTAAAATAGTAACTGGTGACATACGAAAGTCTTCTTGATACCATCTAACTGTCTTGGCCGAACTTTGTTTTTAAATTTTAATATAAAAAGAACCATCGAACGAAAAGAATTGAGAGTCTGAAACTAGTTTTTTTCATTTTCATGATATTTTTTGAGTAATTTCATGTGCATATTAGCACTTTCTAAATAATAGTGAATAAGTTTGATATTTCCTATTAATTTTTAAGATGATTTTTATTAAGTTGATATGATAATTGATAGCTTTAATACAATTCGTTTTGAATTGTTTGGAAAAGTATGAATAGGCAAACAATAAATAGTTTTTGGAATTTTTGACAAAAGTAATCCTTTGTAGTAGTATTTATATACAAAATTACTATCAGATAAAATAACAATATTTAGTAATTATTAATCAAATAACATAATTTATTATTAAGATTTTGTCAAATAAACAAATAATCACTTTTTAAACTAAATATGCTGCGTGTTTATTGTACTTGTAACACACTGAGTATTAAGGTAGAAGACATTTAAATTGCAAACCTATTATTAAATTGTTTTGTTGGGAATACAACATGTTAATTTCATTGTAGTGTGAATAAGTATTTATTTCGGAAAGTGCAATATTTCACTTTCTTCCTCAGCCGATAATAACAAAAATAAACAAAAAATATCTTAACAAAATTGAGTAAATAATAAAGAAATAATATTTCAAATATAAAACGAGCTGTGAAATTTCTATATCAGGCTTTATTCTCTTAAATGATATCTGGTAGTTTAGTGAGAAAATATGGGTATTTATGTTATAAGATCTTTTTTGGCAAAAAGTTTATCGAGTTCAAAATATATCATATAGCCTGATAAAACACCCAGCAGATCGTTTTGATATTTAACTTAATTATTGGGTTTTTGAAATACAGAATACCTGAAATTCCGCTTCAGATGTCATTCCAATAAGATGTTGAAGATACTTAAATGTAAATAATCCATAATTAATAACAAGTCCAATTTGACTTCCGGCATCATCTGATGCTAAAATTATAAATTCAAATTTACTTATATTATAAACTAGTTATATTTAAATGTATTCACCCACCTGCTTCAATTGAAAAATTGATAATAATGATAGTAGTAATCAGATTTATAGCAGGAATTAAACCACCATATATATGAAGCCATTGACTTAAAGCAACATAAATGAACCACGTTGCAGTATGATTATCCTGATACTTATTGAAGGTGGATTTAAATTTACTTTCAGCTTTAAAGGCTCTAATTGTTGTTAGTCCATAAAGAGATACACTCAGATGAGAAAATACCACACTTCTCGCTATCAAAAGAAATTTCTATGTAATTTAAATATTTAAAAGAAACCTTCTTAAATGAAATAATTATGTAGTTGTTATGCAGTATTTATCGACGTACGTGAGGAGTAATTACATGTAAAATTAAATGCAAACTGAAACATTTTTATATTATAATTTATTATTTCTGAAATAACTGTATACGTAAAGTAAAATAGGTCGACAGTATCATTTGTTATGTATATAGAAATATGTTAAATATACAATATATATTTAACACTTTTCTATATTCATAAAAAATGAAACTTAAAGTTTATTTGAATTTCCTTATACAATTACATACATACATATATGTATGTATATATCAGTGTTTCTCAACCTCTAACGAATCGTCGCCCCCTTCAGTTCAGAATTCGGATGCCCAGGGCAAAGGATAACGCCAAATTTGTGCTGCTTTGAATAGAATGGTGACCAGAATAATGTTATTTGTTTAATTATTGTACGATATAACGAATAAAATATCTAATTATTCTTAATATAATGTTTTACTACATCGCAAGAAAATTGTTTATTGCCCCCCAAAATATAAATTGTTACTAATCGCCCCCTCAACATGGAAAAACGCCCACATGGAGGCGATATCGCCCCGTTGAGAAACACTGGTATATATTATTGTATAATATATGTGTCATTATTAATACGCAAATGCTTAAAAGTAAAGCATAATAATTAATTATTTATTTCTCACAACTTGAATCAAAGCAACTATTCTAGATGTTTACAACTTTGCTTATGATTTTTACTGGGAAATTCCACTGACAATCAAGTCTATTTTTAATTGTTGCAGAGTTCTCAGCAGTGACCAACTAGATACAACCTGTATTCAATGGCATTTCACATGCTCCATTGATAAAAATATTGACATCATTTTTCTATTATTCAAAGTTTTTTCACTTTCACTACTAAATTCCAGAAGAGTTGTATGTATTTTTACAAAATATATGATGATTGGTTAGAAACCTGATGACTTTGGCCAAAACTTATAGTTTTTGCTTTATTAGTAATTACATTTTAATAGAAAATAACTTTCATATTATTAATTGTTATGAAATGTCAAAAGGCAAATTTCCGGAGGTAAAGACTCAAAGGAGCTAGCACAGAGTCTTTTTCTATACCTTTTACCTAAATGTACTAACGAAAAAAGCTGAGTATGTAGTATTCCATATAGCCATGATCGATACAATTTATAGACAATACAAATATGATCGCAAGCTCAAGTTGATGTAATAATTTTAATAACTAAACAATAATAGAAATTTAATTATATTGTACACGTGTAAAGTAAAAACGCTTTCATTTTTAGCATAAATTGATCCTCTCTAATGTGTATTTACCAAGTTGTACTTTAAACTTATCAGTCCATGTGATCGAGATATTGGTTTAACTCGGGTTGATGAAGATGTATTGTTTAGCGATAGTAAAATCTGATTGTTACTAATATACATCCCTTGTAACAGGCCACTGCCTTAATACGAATAAAAACTTGATTGATTGATTGATAATAATTTCCGGAGAAAAATAACCTTTTTTAAAAATTGTAAATCGCAATACTGTATTAAGTGAAATTTTTCAGTATAAATGACATAGCACTCTTATATCTACTCACCCCTAGACCTTTCACTATGAAATTTTTTTTTAATGTTCTACCACCCTGTCGTCGGATCATACCGAAGTAAACAACAAACACAAGCATATTCATGCACAGAAGTGCGTATATATATATATATAATATTGTCGTGGCTATAATTTGGCTACGATATACCGGTGAATTCGTCTCTAATAAGATGGCACAATAAGCATTCTGTCACGAAATGCGCTATTCATCCATGTAAGTACTGTACAAGCAAAGCTTGTGAGCATGTTGTAATCTACGATGTACAATGTTCCATTGTTAGAAACTTGGATTGATTGTGTGTATAAAAATTATACTACGCTAATACCAGAAAAAGGGTTATCGGCCCAGGAAGAAAATTCTAACGTCAATGCAACCGGATTGAACGATCAACAATGGTAAGCCTAAATTTTTGTCTTAAAAACAAGCGTTATAACGAATAGAATGACCGAAATACGACATGGACAGCTATCGAAGTTAACTGGTTGCAATTTTACAAGCTGGAAGTACCGTTTAATGGCCATCCTAGAAAATAGAGATCTAGGAAATTTATTAACAAACGATCAACCTACGGATCGTGACGAAGAGTCGAAATGGAAGAAAATGGATATCCAGGCTAAAGGAATTTTAACATGCGCGATGGACGACACAAATGGCAGATATCTTAACGTGTAGAACAGCGAAACAAATTTGGAGCCAGTTGAGAGAAAGAAATGAAGGGGACCTAAGGAGGCAAGTGATGGAGGCCAGAAACAAGGTGGCGAGATTGGTAATAAATCGTGACGAGACGTGGCGAAATTATCTATTAAGACGAGAAAAACTTCTAGAAAGTGCTAATATAAGGGGAGCTGAAATAAAAGAAGACAAATTCATCACCGTACTACTGAAAAGTTTTCTTCAAAAGAACTTACTAATAGCGATGCAATTCGACAACCTAAAACCCCAAGATCTCTGACATGAGAAAAACATGGATTCGAACAGAGGAAAAACCTTGCAGCCTACATAGCATATAGTCAAGTTCAAAAACCACTTAGTTCACTTTTCAGAAACGTTTATATTAACGATTAAAACTTGCATACAGTTATGAGGTTACAAAAATAAAACAATTACAATAATTCAGATATAGCAAAGTTCAAATGTCAATTAAACCACAACAACAGGTCAGTCGAAACGGAATCTTTGCGAAGTATTCCTTCAGACTTTAGTTACCACACAGCGAGACGAAACAACCCTCTTAGGCGAAGCTAATCAAACTTGAGTTTTCTGGATATGTCTTAGGCAAACTGAAATTCCCGCCTAAACTCAATCTTTTATGCGAATTGAGGCGAATGTAATTCCACCAATCAGCGCTTAGTAGCGCTATCGGACTATGCTGGTCGTACGATGTTTTCTAGGCAATCCACAATCGAGTTTCAAAACTACCGACATCGCCTGATCCGCGTCTCAATGACGACGTCCGTTACTCGTTTGAAAACAGGAAAAGTGAGAGAAAACGTATGTCCCGACGATTTATCCCGACACTTATCATCCACCTAATTACAAAATTCCAAAAGACAATGCTCAGAATAAATCTTATACAAGGGAAATGCTATGCAACATCTTCCATAAACAAAATCACAAGGCAATTGAATGCCGGTTAAATCCGATCAACAAAGCAAGGAATAGAGACAAACGAGACAACTTCGATTTCGATAACCTAACATCAAATTTCAAAACTTCTAAAATAGCTTTGAAAAACTCAGCTAGAGAGGACGGTAGGTGACAGAATGGGTAAAAATCAACTAACGAGGGTAACAATCAACAGCGAGTAATTAATTTAACACACACGATGAGCCAGATACATGCTGGATCACAGACAGTGGGGCGACCTCTCACATGACCTTAAATTCCCAACACTGTAGTTACAAAACATGAGAAAAGATAGAAAAACAATCACTATGGTCAATAATAATGTCATACACTCAGAAGGCATAAAAGTCGCATAAATATGAGACGAAGACTCTAATAGATTACTTTTCGAAGACATACTATATACTCTTGATCTGAGCAACAACCTTATTTTTGTAACTAAACTGGCAAAAAGGGAAATCAAGATAATTTTCGATGCCGTGAACTGTAAAATAGTTGACGAAACAGGAAATGCCATCATGTCTAGCAAAAAGAGAAGGAACATATAAACTTATACTCAGCATGCCCATCCATAAATACAGTATGAAATCCAACCATAATGACTGGAAACCTGGAACTAGCGACTCTACCATATAAATGGAAACTACTGTAGATGAACTTTTAGCAAAGAACGAGATGATACGCAATTTCCCTTTCCCAATCTTACCACAATTCAACACACCTGTATACGATACCTGCATTAGAGTGAAGTTTCCCAGGAAGCCCTTTAAACCGGTGATGACAAAACAATCATGAAATTCTTTCAATCTCCTACATCTTGATTTATTCGTCCCTTCAGAGACGAATCACTAGAAGGAACAAACGATGTACTCACCATTGTGTACAACTACTCAAGAAAATTTTTTACTAAATTCTTAAGGGCCAAATCTGAAACAACAGGAGCAATCATAGACTTCATAAAAAATGTTAAAAACACAACTTCGAAAAAAGTTCAAACAAATCAGACCCCATAAATGCAGAGAATTTCTTAACAAAAACCTAAGGGCATTATTAATTAAAGGTTGAAGTATTAACCATGAAATGACTAATTACTATTTCCCCGCTGAAAACTGCATGGGAGAAAAGGCCAATAGAACTCTTGTCAAGGGTACTACCACTCTACTACTAGAAGCAGAACTGCCAAAAAACTTCTGGGCTGAGGCAATGTATTGCTTTACTTATGTACCAAACACCCAGCCATAATGATTCAAAGGGGATCCCGATGAATTGTTCTCCGGAGAAAACCCACTATAGGACACTTAAAAGTATTTGTCTGTAAGGCATATTATTGGATTTTTAAAATGAACAGAAGTAAATTTGACTCAAAGGCAGAACTAGGAATCTTCGTGCGATACTCATCCCGAAAAAAGACATATCGAATATTCGACCCTGCCACTACGATCTTCATTGAGTCACGTGATGTAAAATTCCTAAAAAACCAAAAAGGCAAAAACTTCCAAAAATAAGGAAACCCAACGCAGGTCTATATCGTCGTTGATAGAGAAAGACAGTGTACCAATTCAACTTCTACAGCCCACGATATAGAGGATACAGAAGTCACAAATTTGGATAATCAAATTGAGATAGTTTACAACTTAAATGAACCTATAAAGGAAAACCACTCACTCTCTAATTGACGGAAAAAAACCTAGACTACCTCTACATTTCTACTACAAACCACCCCTA